AAAAAATGATACTTATTATATCAATAAGTAATAATTTTTTTATAATGTGAAAAAGATCTGTCAAATTGTTTTAACAATTATGTAATGAATTTATTATTAATATATTAATATATTTTTGTATTAATTTTAATTATGGTTATACTATGAATAAATCCAGCATAGTATATAAAATTGATTGTAAAGTGCGATGCCTTAAACAACATTTTCCTAGAATTCTAAAAATAAAAAATTAAGAAATAAATAGACAGGTATATAAATAAATAAATAAATATATTTAGTAAAGAAATAAACAATAAAGAGTTTAAATAAATGAACTTAAAATATAAACAAATATATAAATGTACAGAAGAAAATAACTGAAAAATACAGAATAAATTACTAAACTAGTGGGGCGCATGGCATCGTGCCTTAAGGCAAATTGCTGGAACTTCCCGTACCAAAAATTATTATTTTTTTGAAAAGATTAACATTTTTGAAAAAAATTTACTCTGAAAAAAAATAGATTTTTGAGGAACTATATAATTTTTTGACGAAAACTTACATTTTGTTGAAAAATTTATTTTGAAATATTTTGGAAATTCTGAACTTTTTTTCAAAGCAATCGTACTGCTTTAATGCATAGAGACTAAATATCGAAGCGCGTAAGCGCCGCGTCGCTGTCTAACGCATAAGCATTGGTACGGAACCCATAGGAATGTTAACAAAATGTATACTCATTGTTAAAATCTCTATAAAATATCTGATAATTTGATGTGCATATGTCTAATGTCTAATGATTATTGTTGACCGCCAAATATTATTTTTTTTTTTTTACTTTTTTTACTAGATCTCCGAGACCGCTAGACCTATTTTCATGAAAATTTGATCAAATCTTCATCTTGATAATGCAAGTAAAATGTTTTTGAATTATACAAATCGGACGCTCCGTTCTCTTAAAAACTGAGTTACCGTTTTCGGCACTTTTGCCCCGTATCTTTGGAACGGCTGGACCTGCCTTCGCCAAAAACTAATCAGCACGTCTCCTTATCAATACGAATCGAATGTTTTTTGAATTATTCAAATTGCTTCATCCCGGTTCCCGAAATCGTCGACGAAAATTTGTATCTGAACACACACAAATGCACGCACACACACACACACATACATCAATTATCTCTAAGGTATGCCAATATATTCAGAAACCTTTGAAACGTAAAGATATATAAAAATTTTCATTTTCGATTTTTGTGCGATTACTATAACTTACCCTACGGAAAGTTAATTATAAATAAATCAATTTATCATCTCCAGAACATTAACAATCGTCATTTCATTTCGAATCAAATTTCAAAAAAAAAAATAGTTGCCAAATTTCCACAAAATTGAAAAAGTGCTCTCGCCTAGTCACAGTCTAAACGCATTTGCAAATAATTCTGTGCGACATTTTCACTTATACTGTGCTTAGCTTGGCGGCATTTTCACATTTTTCAATAATTTTCACAAAATTGAAAAAGTGCCCCAGTACATAAACAGTCTAAACGCACTTGGGTAAACATTTGTACCAGAGTGGCGCTTAGACTGTGCTTAGCTTGGGTGATTTTTTGAATTTTTAATCCAAAATTACAAAAAAAATTTTTGAAAAAAAAATTAGAAACAAAAAATTTTTTTTTCCAAAATCAATTATTTTGTTGAAACAAGCAGAAAGTTCTTTAAGTAATTTAAATCGGACACTTAGTTCTCTCAAAAACTGCCATTTTTTTAACATTTAGCTCTGTATTTCCGGAACCGCTGGGCCTACCTTTGCCAAAAACTAACCAGCACATCTCCCTATCAATAGGAATCGAATGTTTTTTAATCCATTCAAATCGGTTGATCCGTTCCCTCAAAAACTCGCTTTCTATTTTCTGCACTTTTTGCTCCATATCTCCGTAACGGCTGGACCTGCCTTTGCCAAAAACTAATCAGCACATCTCCCTATCAATAGGAATCGAATGTTTTTTAAACCATTCAAATCGGTTGATCCGTGCGCCCGAAAACGTGGACGAAAAAAAGCGGACATACAAAACACACACACACACACACACACACACACACATCCATTTTTTCTGAAGTATGCCAAAATGTTCAGAAACCTTCAAAACGTCGAGAAATGTAAAAATTTTTGATTTCGATTTTTGGACGATTACTATAACTTACCCTACGGGAAGTTAATAAAAAGGTAGAAAACCAAATTAACGAATAAACTAATAAGATATTAATAAATATCATATCCAAGCAACAAACCAATATACATCCAAGATACACACCAACAAATAAATAAATATAAATTAATAAACAAATAAATAATCAAAAAAATAGATATTAAATCATTAAATGATTAATTATGATAAATATATTAGACAGTAAAAAAGTAAATAGTAAAGTGTATAAACAAGGAAATAAACTTAAAATACTAATAAATAAATAAATAAGTAAATAAATATACAGTTAGGTAAACAAATCAAGGTCAAGAATAGCTAAATAAATAGACAAATAAATAAATAAACTTAGATATTAATAAATATCTTATTCCAGAAACAAATAGATACATTGATTTAACATGAATAATTATCCTAAGAAGTAAATATATAAATAAATAAATAATTAAAACATATGTTAGACAGTAAGAAAGAAAGAATTAAGAATTAGTGAATAAATAATTAGTAAGTAAATAAATAAACATAAGTAAGATCATAAAAAATAAAGTAGACAACTTAATGAATAAGTAATAAAACTAAGATATTAATAAATAATTCAAGAAACAAATTAAACTAACATAAGGAATACTAAGAAGTGAATATAATTAATAAGTAAGCTTAACAAATAAATAAGCAAATTAACAGAATGAAACAAAAAGAAAACAAGAAATAAATAAATAAATACTAATAATAAAATAATTAAATAAATGAATATTCAACTAATAAACAATTAAATAAACAAATGAGTCAAGAAAGAAACCAAAATATAAATAATGATATCAAGAACAAATAAACTAATGAAATAAACAATTTAATAAATAAACAAATGAAGAGCTGTACTTAAAAATATACAAACAAATAAATAGTTAAACTAATATAAATAAATCAAAAAGTATAATAAATAAATAAAATGAACAATGTAGGTACTAAGAAGCAAGTAAATGAATAAATAAAATAAAGAAGAAGCCACAAAAATCAGGTTAATATTTAAGGATTCTATAAATCTTTCTATTACTATTTTTTTCACGTATAATTTTTATTAACTATTAATAATAATATATTTAACTGCATTATAACAATATTGATATTAATTAACGATATAAAATCGATTAGACATCGATAAAACTTTATTCGTTTGTTAAAAAGCGTGTGAAATCGATATTTAACGGGATGATACTAAAGTCATACATATATAAAAGGTAAAACCAATATTTATAATTGTATGTATATACATATAATATGTATATGTATGTATTTGTATATATATTGGAGCGGCGCCTTTCAAAAGCCAGAAAGGTCCGAAAACTAATTTTTAGAAAAGAAATAAATAAAAAAAACATCGTTAAAAATATTAATAGCAACATGGGCCACTATATCATATTTATACATACATGTATAGTATATACATATGTATTAATATATATATATGTATGTATATGTATAAGCGAAGGACTTTATTACCAACATTGGTTTTTGTCAAAATCGACCGAAAATTAAAAATTGCTAATAATAATTTGTTGAATTGAATTTAATTGAATTAAATCAATAATTTTACTAATTTATATACATTAAATTACATGTAAGTTGAATTATTTAAGACAGTTTAAGTAGCCTGATATAATTTTTAAAAAACTTGGAAACTTGTTTCAGTATCTCGATTGTATTCAAAAAGACCTTTCAAACGATACCCCACATGCCATATTAAATAATCTGACATTTTTGAAGTAAAACTTCTTTAGACTTCACAGCTACAAATTTGTAAAAAGTGTGTATTTTGCGGACAAACCACATGGTTTATATCAGTATTCAGATTCTATTCAAAAAGACCTTTGAAACGATACCCAACATGCCAGAAAAACACAATATATCTTTTTTAAGTGAAACTTCTTTAAGCTCGTTTACTGCAAATTCATTGTAAGTATGTTAAATCTCAATCTCAAAATTGATTACGTATAGGTATCGGAGAGTTCATGCAACTTGCCTTTAGGCAAAATGCAACTTACAACTAGTTCCTTAATTTATCTCATCCAATCTCATCTTATGCAATCGCCCACGATATAAAAATCGTCATTAAAATTTCGCATTTGGTATTTTTTGTTGAAATTTTAATCTCGGACATAATAAACAAGATCGTAATGAAATCGATTACTTACGCTTCACTTCGCATTATCGATATCGTATCGATATATTGGCTCTCTATCGACGATTATTATCCGGAGAGAAAATCGATAAACGAAAACCGATACAGGATCAATTCGAAGGATAATCGATTATTATATCGATATTAATATGTATAGATACATATCATATAAATATGTATGTATGTATGTCGATATCGATATGTGTGTGCGAAGATACAAAGTTAATCAAGTCTGTCCAAATTAGTTTTTTAATTAATATTTTATTCTTTATTCGAAACGATATGGTGGGAACGTTACGTAATATCGTTTATATATATATATATATATATATATATATATATATATAAGGGTGGTCCTTAATATGGACATTTTCGAATTTCCTTGCTCCCAAGGGCTCAAATGGTTCCAAATTGATAAAAAACAATTCTCTGAAAGTTTAAGCTCTGAATGACCATATTAAGGACTACCCTAATATATATATATATATATATATATATATATATATATATCAACAAAATCTACATACACCTAAAATATCTTCTCAACCATCAACATTAGTTCAGTTCATTTTAATATAATTATAACTCAGAAACTACAAGAATAACGCAAAAAACAGACTTAAAATGTGTTTTTGTTTTTCCAGGACCATCCAAGTTTAAGAGGGACGCCACTGGCCATGTTGGCTGCCCAGTGTAATAAGTTATCCTCAAAGTCGCCGCCGCCACTGGCGGACGCTGCCGTCGGCAAAGGTTTTCATCCTTGGAAGAAATCACCATCAGGTAATTATTGACATAATATGTACTTAAGACTTATGAAGTTTTACTTCAAACATTTTTTGTATCAATCATGTTTTAGTATTGAAATATTGAAATTTTGAGAAATTCGTAGTTGAAATGTGGACTTTAGTATTGTCATAACATGCAATATATGGATTTAGGACATTTTTTTGTTTTTTTTTTAAATAACTTTTAATTTTATTCTCGATCATTATAATTTGTTTACATTAGTAAAAACTAAATAGAATTTACTAAAATCTAGTAAAAACTGTTTTAGGCACTTTGATATTGAGATTTTGAATAATTCGTGGTTAAAATGCGGACTTTAGTAATTCATAGTTGAAATGCTGACTTTAGTATTTCCATAACATGCAATACATGAATTTAGGACATTTTTTTAGTTTTCTTAAAATAACTTTTAATTTTCTTCCCGGACAATATAATTTATTTACATAAGTAAAAACAAGATAAAATTTTCTAAAATCTAGTAAAAACTGTTTTATGCACTTTAATATTGAAATTTTTGAATAAATCGTAGTTGAAATGCAGAATTTAGTATTTCCATAACATGCAATATATGAATTTAGGACATTTTTTTAATTTTCTTAAAATAACTTTTAATTTTCTTTTCGGACAATATAATTTATTTACGTAAGTAAAAACTAAGTCTAGTAAAAACTGTTCTATGCACTTTGGTTTTAAAATTTTGAATAAATCGTAGTTGAAATTCAAATTTAGTATTTGCGTTATATAGATTTAGGACATTTTTTAGTTTTCTTCAAATCGTAACTCTTAATTTTGGACAGCTTGGTCATAATAATTGGTTTACATTAGTAAAAACTAGATATAATTTACTAAAATCTAGTGAAAACTGTTTTATATACTTTGATATTGAAATTTTGAATAAATCGTAGTTGAAGAGCAGACTTTAGTACTTCCATAACATCAGGGGCGTAGCGTGCCTTGGCGGGGCCCCATATCAAAATTTGTTTAGGGGCCCCTCTCAAGAAGAAAAAAATTTTTACGGATTATAAAAATACATAAAATTAAAAGGATATTTATTTACCATTCTTATTATTTATCTAACCATTTCTTTCATTTTCTGAATTTTTTTACAAATGATTCCAAATATATATTCACTTTCTTTGATTTTCTTTCTGAAAAATTAAATTATCTAATAATATTTAAATTTTATAAAGATTTGTCACTAGGAACATACAGGTTTGGTAGACATTTCTGTCCTAAAGTTTTTACGTACTTTTTAGTTTTGATTTTAAAAATTTCTTTTAGGAGTTGCGATTGTAACTGGAAGGGCCAGAAAAAAATGCATGCTGTTATTTTGTTGGGAAAACTGGATGCAAGTCTAATGCATTCATCACATTTCTTAGATTTTTGAATTCAAACCTATTTCTAGAGTCATCAATTAGTCATGACCTTATGAGATATTTTTATAGTATTTCTTTACAGTAATTCAGTCGACAGATTTCCGGAAAAGTTTATTAATTCTTCATTTCAAGAAGACTTATGTTACTATTTACGTCGCAAAGTTTTTGAAATCTCTGTTTGGTTTGTGAAATCAATATATCTAAACAGCAATAGTATACATTAAAATAAGGTTTAGGGTCCAAAATTCTCTCATCTTGTGATAACTCATCATAATAACTTGTAATAACTCATCAACAACAATATATGGATCTAGGACATTTAATCATTATAATATGTTTACATTAGTAAAAACTAGATAGAATTTACTAAAATGTAGTAAAAACTGTTTTATACACTTTGATATTGTTTTCAGTGGTTCAGATTTAAATATTGCAAGATAAAAAGTTGGTGGAAATCAAAATAACACTGGTATTTCCGTTTTTAGGTCAACATTCTCCTCTAGGTGTCACCTCGTCCAACAACAACACCACATCATCCCCGCTGACATCATGCAGCCTGACGTCACCAGTGACGTCATCGGCGTCACGTCACCTACCGCCATCCCCTGTAGCCACACCGCCCTCGTACGCGTCACCAGGAGCAGTGACATCATCGGTCAGTGGTCAACTGACACCATCAAGTACCAGCAGCAATGTAAATACACCAGTAAATAGTACTTAAAGATTTCCAGAAGATTTACTAATGTGTCTATTCTATAGTTGAACCAACGTCATCTACTATCCAATCATTCGAATCACTCGACAACGTCCCTGCACCACGCAAACTCCTATCACCAGTCACCATCGGCATCGGATTTGTACTTTGCTCATGGTTTGGGAAGTACTGGTAATAGTGGTAATGGTGGAAATGGCGGTAACGCCGCTGGTGCTGGTTCTGGTAATAGTGGTTACAATGATGCCCTGTTGCGCCACCCGTACGACGCCACTTGGCCCTTTAATGCTGCAAATCCTTACAAAACTGCTAGTGGAAGTGCAGATCACCACCATCAGGTAATTGACAATTGACACGAATAAATTAAGGGGCACAACTAGTGTGAAATTTTCATTTTTTCTATATTTCGATAGGTTATACCTTTAAAAATAACATACCAAAATTTTAAATCGATATCTTACATAGTTTGAGTCACAGCCATTTAAAGAGTATATATATAGTATATAGCAGAGGTCGGCAACGCGACGCCCCCGATCAACTTTAGATGCGCCCTCGGTTAATGTAAATGTATGATTACCTTAACATAAATCAATTTCACATTTTCCAAATATAAGGCATATTGTTGAAAGTCTAAAAATAAATATAGAAAATTTTACTACTACATCATATTTAGAAGTTATAGACAAATTGACAGAAGAGTTTTGTTCAAGATTTCGCAGCACTAAAACGCGTTCTAGGATTTTTTATAAACCCATTCGAAGTTGCCGAAGACGATCTTCTGCAAAGTGTTTCAGTGTATTTCGAAATTAGTAATACCGAAGACGTGGAGTTAGAAATAATAAACTTGCAAAATGATATTATTTTAAAAGCACTGTAATGATAAAATGTTTTGGAATTTAGTCGATGAAAATAAGTATCCTATGTTAAGGAAATGTGCGCTAAAAATTGACTCATATTGTGCAACAACGTACAATAGCGAATCTTTGTTTTCAAATATGAAATATTTGAAATCAAAATACCGAACAAAGTTAAATGACACACATTTAGATAACTGTTTGCGGACAGGGAACTCTAGTTATATTCCCGATTATAAAAAAATAGCTGAAAATACGGACACACAAGTTTCACACTAAATTATATGTTTATAATTAGGTATTATTAAATCATACTCTTCTTTTATCGATGTACTGAATGTTAGTAATGTATATATTATATCATAATTTTCCGAATTTGCTGCAGCGACTACTCAAAAACAAATGATCCGACCAATATCAAATTTTCTTTACATGTTCTATATTTAGTTCTCCATAAAATGAACTATCGATGTTTTGATCGTATCAAAAATCGAATTTTGGCAGTCCAAAATTTTGGGTAAAATTCGACTTATTTTTAAAAACGCCGCCATTTTGTCAAACTTTGATTTATTTTCTTTATCGTAGTTCATTTTACAGACAATATTATCTAGTTTAACAAGAATTATTTTTTAAATTTCATCTATGTAGAAAGCCGGAATCACTGCAGCAGTGAAGGGCCTTTTTTTGTCGCGCCGTTGGAGATCGACGATAACTTAAAAAATATTTAATTTTTTTCTTCAAAAATTTTACTATGTATTCTTAAAACATGTATAAGTATATTCCTAAAATTTTGAAATGATTGATAAAGTAGTTTTGGTAATACAAATTCCCAAAAATCACATTTTTTTAGGCGGTTACACTAGTTGTGCCCCTTAAAATTTGCATCATCAAGTATTAATTTGTGTATTTTTTAGTCTGGTGCATCTGCAAATACACCAGCGACCTGGTGGGATCCAGTGACCTCAATGCAGTGGTTAGAGAGTGCAAGAGACATGGCAGCAGCTGCAGCCGTTACCCCTGCTTACCATCATCACCATCACGCGACAGATTATTCAACAGCCTTGAGTATGGCGACAGGACACCATCATCATGGGTTGTCGTTACAGGATACTTATAAAACTATGCAAGGTAATGAAAAACAAGAAAAGGAGTTGTATAAATAGTGACATTTATAAAGAACTTTGGCTGATGGGGATTTGTTTTTTGTCCAGGTTCGTTTGGTTTGCACCACGCGACGGCAAGTGTACCTCCGGCTACTTCACAAGCCCTGCAGACACACCAGACACCGAGTCCGAGATCTCAAAGAAGATACACAGGTAAATAGTGGGTTTACAGACTTTTCATTGGCCTTGTCCAACTGTTATGTTAATTATGACATTATGGTCTTTTAGGTCGAGCAACCTGTGATTGTCCCAACTGCCAGGAAGCAGAGCGTTTAGGGCCAGCAGCAGGTGCCCATTTACGAAAAAGAGGCGTCCACTCCTGCCACATACCAGGCTGTGGTAAAGTCTACGGCAAGACATCACATCTTAAGGCACACCTAAGGTGGCACACAGGCGAACGTCCATTTGTCTGCAACTGGTTGTTCTGCGGAAAACGATTCACCAGGTAAGACCAAAACCTTCATACACCTCTGAGACTTTATGTCTACTGTCTTATTAACTTCCCGAAGGAAAAGTTTATGTTTTCATAAAAAAAATCGATTCGCTAATTTTATGTTCTCTCGACGTTTCAAGCCATTCTGAATCGAATGACAACAAATTTGGATAAATAAAGATTAACATTTTTGAAAAAAAAATTACTCTGAAAAAATTAGATTTTTGAGAAACAATAAATTTTTGACAAAAATTTACCTTTTTTTGAAAAAAAAAAAGACTGAAGAAAAATTTAATTTGAAATATTATGGATATTCTGAACTTTTTTTCAAAGCAATTGTACTGCTGTAACTGCATACAGACGAAATATCGAAGCGCGTAAGCGCCGCGTCGCCGTCTAACGGATAAACATTGGCACGGAACCCATAGGAATGTAAACAAAATTTATACTTATTGTTAAAATCTCTATAAAATATCTGATAATTTAATGTGCATATGTCTAATGATCATTTTTGACCGCCAAACGGCTCATTTTTTTACTTTTTCCTTTATATCCGCCAAGTCGTTGCATCTCCCTTACAAAAATTTGAACAATTCTTCATTTAGTTAATATAAATAAAATGTTTTTTGATTTATTCAAATCGGACTCTCCGTTCTCTTAAAAACTAAGTTACCGTTTTCAGCACTTTTTGCCCCGTATCTTCGGAACGGCTAGACCTGCCTTCGCCAAAAACTAATCAGCACGTCTCCTTATCAATACGAATCGAATGTTTTTTGAATTATTCAAATCCGTTGATCTGTGTTCCCGAAATCGTCGACGAAAATTTGTATCCGCACATACATACACACACGCACATACACACACACAGACACACACACATACAACCATTTTTTCTAAGGTATGCCAAAATGTTCAGAAGGTTTTGAAACGTAAAGACATCTAAAAATTTTCATTTTCGATTACTATAACTATAGCCGATTTTCATGAAACTTTTTTTAGCGATATATATCATGGTCTTATAGAACTTACTGAAATATTACTGCCTTACGACAAGTAGTTTAATTTTAAAAATTCATCAATATTTGAGAAAATGAATAGTTTTTTTGAGGTTTGTTAAAATTAAAATTAGACGATTTACTCGGTATAACGATAGAGTACTTGATTTTAATGAACATACTAAACCATTAAAGTCCTACGGAAACTGGTTCAAATATAAAAATTATTAATTTTTCAAAATTTGCTTTTAGAAAATACTCCGAGTTAACGTGTTCGTTCATTTTCAATACTTTTAATCACTCATAAATTAATTTATATTTTATTAATTAAGTCGATTATTTACACATATCGGGAAGTTCATGTAACTTGCCTCAAGGCAAAATACCAATACTAACCAGTTTCTACTGTCTATTATCTTTTAGATCTGATGAACTCCAAAGACATCTCCGTACCCACACTGGCGAAAAAAGGTTTGCCTGTCCAGTTTGCAACAAACGATTCATGAGAAGTGATCATCTAGCCAAACATGTAAAAACTCATACGTCTGGTGGTTCTGGCGGTTCAGGGAATGGTTCTGGAGGTTCGGGAAAGAAGGGTTCATCCGAATCTTGTTCGGATTCTGGTGAAGAAACGAGTCAACAAGGTGCAAATCAAGGTAGCCCTCAAGGACATATACAATTGTTGGATATCAAACCGAATACAGGAGGTTTGATTTGATATTAAAAGATGGACAATGTTCGTGAGATGGAAAGTTAGGGGAATGTTGTGTAAATAGACAAGTGATAGGTGATTGGTGATCAGAGTTTGTGTGTACATAATACCAACAAGTTTGTGTAAGAACAATGTAGATCAAGAATTCTTCGAAGATCTTTGCACAAGTCAAAATATGTTCATGGACCACAAAGTGATAAACATTTATAATAATAAGGTGAAAAAAATAAGTGGCGCTTATAAAAAGTGTATATTTTGCAACCCGCTTAAAATCTTATCTTAAATTATCAGTTTTGTAAATAAATACTTGTAAATTTTTTTTAACATATCTCTAACTATATTTCTGGTCTGTAAGAAAAAAGTAACTAGTTGTGTATAAAAATTAAGATATCTATTTGTAAATATTTAAAGATTCGACTCGACTCGATTGTGTTAATAATAGATTTTGTAAATATAGTGTGTAATTTTCTCTTTAGGTTAGGGAGGTAGCATTGCGTAATTTGTTTGAGATAAAAAAAATTAAATATTAATTCAAAATCTATTCAAATTTTGCTTTGAATCATTCCTGTTAGTTGAATCGATTCGAATGCTTTAATTGGAATTGATAAATATATTCTGATTTAAAGAAAATTTAGAATTTGTGTGAAGAATTTATTTTTGAGTCGATTCACATTTTGCTTCGATTCAAATTTTGTTTCGATTCGAATTGACGTGATTCGAATGGATATGCGTTTTATTTATAAATTTTTTTACACATGATTTTAAGTAGATAAATTTGTGTTAAGATTCAGATTCAGATCAATATCTTTCATATTCGAATCGATTCAGAGTAACTTGGAATTAATTCCGCACACTCCAATGTATTTATTTCCATCGATTCAAATTATATCATAAAATCGTATCAGTTTGATTCGAATACATATGGGTTTAGAAATCTTATTCTATTAAAAAAATATCTTAAAATAGGCTGAATTATATAGTTTGGCATACTTTGATTCAAAGATTCGAATGCATTTTAGATAAATGCAAATGACTCGAATCGAAATAGCTTCGAAATGTTATTTAAACTCTATACATTTGATATATTCCAAATTATTTTCGTTGATTCAAACTTCCAATTGTATTATTTTTTGGTTTGAATGCTTCAGACTTGATTCGAATGATAAAGTTATTTTACTAAAAGCTTAATGAAAGATAAACAAGTCCAAAATTATTGCTCCTGAATCGATTCAAACCAACTTCTGAAATAATTTGAATCGGAATGAATTGACTTAAAAATTTCTGTTTGAAACCGATTCGAGTTGACTTGATGGATATTAACAAAATTTGTTTGATTTGAATTGATTTGCAGATTTTATATGAACTTATTAAAGCTGGATAAACAAAACATCTCAAACAAAACACAATGCCATTTACTTTTCGGTTTGTATTTAAAAATAATGGCGCTTGAATAATTATAAATAAATAAAAAATTGTAACAATGTTTGCCTGATATATTGCATTTTGGAAAATTATATATATATATATATATATATATATATATATATAAATCCAAAAAATTAAATAATGCCATACGTGTGCTTTAAAGCTACAAGAACAAAAAAAAAGAATTTTCGAAACCTCGTAAATGTATTTTGTAAAACCTATCTACTAATTAAATAAATATAAATATTATTATTATGAACTAATTAATTATTATTATTATATATAAATATAAATAAATATAAAAAATATATTGTGTTGACAACTGCTGAAATAAACAAAAATGATATGATAAAAAACTTGTAAAGAAAAATTGAAAGAAATAAAACATGATATTGATTATTATGAAGAACATTTTTGTTGTTAATAGGATTTAATTATTTGTGTTTCAGGTGGGATTGTATTTATGTCAGAGGCGTGCAATGTCTGTTCATTGCATATAAATCCCAGATTTTAACATTGAAATTTTAAAATTGTATGATAGTCAATTTTTTCCTTTATACTTTTTCGAGAATTTTATTGAAAATTTGGAAAAAATTAAAGCAGTGATTTTTGTTTATTTCAAATTAAAATTAATTAGGTCTGGTATACGTTTTGAGGTTGCATTTGAGTCACCATCAGTCATATAAATGCACGTATAACAAAAAAAAGTACATTTTAATAAGAATATTTTTACTTTTTTGATATACGAGATAAAATTCAATGAGACTGGTTTGGCTAGTCAGTAGATTTTTTATACTAGATTCAGTTTGCAAGTCAGTAGAGTTCTAGTTATATTATTTTTGACTTTAGACCTAGTTAGCTTGTCAGTAGAGTTGTAGTAGGTTAGTAGAGTTGTTTTTATTGAAATCTAGAATCAATTTAATCGTCAGTAGAGTTTTTTTCATATATCCAACAAATAATGACTAATATGTGTCACAATTGTTAATAAAATTTTAGAAAATTGCATTTAATGTTAGTCTTTTTTCCAACTCCAGAGTTAGTCTTCTAGTCAGAGTTCTTTTTTAGATTAATTCGAGAATCAGTTTGCCAGTCAGTAGAGTCCTTTTTTGGAATGAATCTAGAACTAGTTTGCTGGTCAGCAGAGTCCTTTTTCGGAATAAATCTAGAATCAATTTGCAATACAGTAAAGTTTTTTCTATCTATTTTTAGTTTGCTCGTCAGTAGAGTTTCTTTCTAACTCAGCATATAAATAAAAATATTTATTATGTTAACATATGCACGTAAAATATATATTCAAAAAAAAATGCTTTCTTCCCTGCGATGAATACATCATTCATCATTTTAAGGATGTGGTTTTGACATGTGGTCAACGTGTTCAGTATATATATATATATATATATATATATATATATATATATATATTATGTTATTGTTGTTGCGGTTGAAATTAGGTTAAATGCATATACTTAGTAGTTAATGAAAAAAGAGATTTCCTTAGAAAAGAAATGCGTGGTGGTGACTCCAAAGATGACGACATACGGCTAATGGCGATTTAAACGGACATCGTTATAAATCGATAGTAGTCATATTTATATATATCGACATTATATATGATAATTAGTAGTCTGTCCAAAGCCAGGTCCATGGAGTAAGAGCACTACAAATCAATTATACTTGTCTATTATACTCCCATTTTCCATTTAATATTGATAATTTATTTTGTATAAAACTACTAAGGTTTGTGTCATCTATCTATACTATATTTGTATAAGGTATGTTGAGACCTTTGAAATGATACCCCACACGATATATTTAACGCGAAACGTTTCGAATATTTATTAGACCCATTGCATTGTATATAGTTCAACAAGTGGTGCATTTATTTTTTTAAAACTCTTGTAATCTACACTATTGTCTAACAATTTGAATCCCTAGTTTAACTCCGTATACTCAAAATTATAAATTGTTAAGTGAAATATTTGTTTCAGTTCAAATTCGTATCTCTTGTAGATCTATAACTTGTAAACCATTCAATTAATATGAATAATGTATTTGGCAAATAAAACTTGTATAACTAACATGCTCTTTCATAATATAATAACTAGTGGTGTATGGCATCGTGCCTTAAGGCAAATTGCTAGAACTTCACGTACCGTAATGAAATATTCGAGAAATTTTAAACGTTTCAAATATTTCATTACAAAAACTGTAACTTTCATTATTTTTGTTATCTTGTTTGTTATATATATATATATATATATATATATATATATATATATATCTGAGCAAATCAAATGTATATCAAAAATCGATTTATCTCCAGAACATTAACAATCGTCATTTCATTTCGAATTCAATTTAAAAAAAAAAATAGTTGCATAATTTGCACAAAATTGAAAAAGTATTGCCGTATAGTCACAGTCTAAACGCACTTGCGAATAATTGTGTGCGACATTTTCACAGTCTAAACGCACTTGGGTAAACATTTATACCAGAGTAGCGCTTTGACTGTGCTTAGCCTGGGTGATTTTTTGAATTTTTAATCCAAAATTACAAACAAAATTTTTTTTTCCAAAAGCTATTATTTTGTTGAAACAAGCAGAAAGTTCTTTGAATCATTTAAATCAGACGCTTAGCTTTCTCAAAAACTGCCATTTTTTAACATTTAGCTCCGTATCTCCGAAACCGCTGGGCCTACCTTTGCCAAAAACTAATAACCACTTTTCCCCGTCATTACAAACTGAATGTTTTTTGGATCATACAAATCGGATGATCCGTTCTCTCAAAAACTATTTCTATTTAACGCACTCTTTGCTTCATATCTCCGTAACGGCTGGACCTGCCTTTGCCAAAACCTAATCAGCACATCTTCCTATTAATAGGAATCGAATGTTTTTTAAACCATTCAAATTGGTTGATCCGTGCGCCCGAAAACGTAGACGAAAAAAATGTGGACGAACAAAACACACACACACATCCATTTAGTTTCTAAGGTATGCCAGTAAAATGTTCAGAAACCTTCAAAACGTCGAGACATGCAAAAATTTTCATTTTCGATTTTCGGCCCATTACTATAACTACCATACGGGAAGTTAAAAATACATAAATCTCAAGTTTCATCGATTATTTGTCCTTTGCTTCAAATCGAGTTGCAACTCTTAATTTCTCCGTACAAAAAACTACATAAAATAATGTTTACCCACAGAAGCACCTTCTTTAAACTCGACGTATTACATTTTTAATTAATTAAATCGCTGTAAAATTTAATCATATTGTTAACAGCCTCTCGTGCAACCTCAAAAAAAGAAAAACAACAACAGCAATAATCCATCCCTCCATCATCATGGTCAATTATAAAATCTCGTAAAAGTTTACAACCTTTGCATGATGCCCATTTGCATATTGGCGGCGGGAATGATCGTATGAAAAAAATCGCCTGCGATCGGTTCGAACACGGCACCCGGTTATTATTGCCTTTGCCGAAGGAACGAAATCGTCCGCCATTTTGTTGGAGGTTTTATAATGGCCAAAGTGGTTCGGTCGGCCGGTAGCACGTAATGGCGGACGATGTATAATGAGAC